TTTGTCGGCACACACACGGTCGCAGGCTAACCGTACACGGTCGCAGAGTAGAGCCTCAACATCATCATAATAATACAATACTTGGTTATGATTTAAAAAGAACATTCATGTATTTGTTTGACTGGTTATCATGTATCAGTTTGTGTTATGTATTATAGTATTGCCTTTATATTATCTGTTTGACTGGTTATCATGTATCAGTTTGTGTCATGTATTATAGTATTGCCTTTATATTATATGTTTGACTGGCTATCATGTATTAGTTTGTGTCATGTATTATAGTATTGCCTTTATATTATCTGTTTGACTGGCTATCATGTATCAGTTTGTGTCATGTATTATAGTTTTGTTGGGTGCTCATTATGTTTTCAAAGTATAGATGACAAAAGGATTACGTAAGAGAGCGCTTGAGAGACTTTTTAGTAGACATTCTGGAGGCGACGCACATGGCTCTACGTCAGGTATTTTTATTTATTTATTATATCTGTACATTTCTATAAACTATTAATACGAGCCTAACATTATTTTTTAACATTTCCTACACAGGACGCATCGCTGCTACACATGACTCGCCACCACAGGACACAGGACGAGGAGATGCTCCACCTGATGCAGAGACACTCGTTGATCCTACCCAACATGCGGAGATACCGCCGTCGCCTCCTCCGCATGCAGATGCATTGGAGGAGCGCCGATATGAGCCATATAGCGCAGCTGTAGAAGCTACGTCACTACCACCGGATTCTATTACAGATCAACGAGCCCACGACCCGGCCAAGGTGAAGGGGGATTGGGATGCTTATCATGCTTTGCGACCTACCGCACAGCATAGGTATGAACATGCAAGGTGTAGATGCTTCGAATTGAAAGGTGTGTATAGATTTTTATATTTTATCTATTAATATTTTAATTTGTATTATCGATATTGATTGATTTATATTTCGCCTGAATTTCATTTTTTCGTAGGTACCGAGCAACCTACTAGGCGCGGCCGCGGTGGTACCAAGACACAGAACCTCATCCCAGATATTCATCGGAGGGCCGTGATCCGATGGGAGAACGGCGTGCCTGTCAGGCCATTTGCTAACGCTTTCAACAATTTCCTCGCCGCTTTAGCTACGAGACATGATTTCTTCAACATATTTTTGACGTGGAAGTCGCAGCGGATTGATGCGCTGGTGGCTTGTTGGAGATATATACGTGTGAGTCATTTATTTTAATTCTCATAATTATTAGTCATTTTATTATTTTGTTTAACACACTGATTTGTATCTCTTTTTTCATTATATGCTGAAGCGATTTTTCTTTCTTGACGATTACGCTTGTGCCTGGACTTACTGCTTCACGCAAATCAATCTATCGTTCAAGAGGTGGCGGTCAGAGCTGAAGAAAAAATATTTTATTCAAAGAACAGAAGATTGGGAGCGTTACTGGCATCTTGACGAGCGCGTAGATGGAGTAGATTTTTTTGTACTTTGCGATTATTGGGACACGGCCGAAATTCAGGTATTATTAAAGTATATATTTTCGTTTATTGTTTAAAATTCTATATTATATCTATTTAACATTGTTTTGCAGGGTCAAGCTGAAACAGTAAGGAGGAACCGCAATGCGCCCCGCAGTTACGAGCATCACGGGGGCTCCAGATCCTTCAGCCAGCATTATCATCAATTGGCGCTTGAGGTATATAATATATTAGCTCTTAGGTTATCAATTTGAGTATAATTTATGTGTTATGAGTTAATGATATATTTGAATAAAATAGGGAAGGGGAGATCTTGAGCATTTTGCAGATCGTATTCTGACTTCATGGAGCCCAAATTACGCCGATGAAGAGAAGAAAGCGCAGAACCGGTATCTGGCTGTAAGTAGTAGTTTATTTGTATATTTAATTTTTATAACAATGCATTTTAAATGTGTTAGAATTGACCGGGTTGTTTTGGTATATCACAGGAGAAATTACATGCTAAGGTGCAGGAGCAATTATCACAGACTCAGGTCGATTCCAACACTCCGACCCGATTAAGTAGAGAGGAGGAGGATAGCATCATCGAGACGGTCATTGGACCGAGTAGGAAGAACAGATACAGGTGGAGAGGATCCGAGCATCGGCCGTACGAGTCCAGTAGCACCTACGAGTCTGCAGCTCCACCAGGATGCAGTTCTTCTCAAGACCCGACTATGGAGCAGCGGATGAAAGCGATGGAAGATTGGCAGTCGCATCGGGAGTCAGAGCTACTTCAGATGGCGGAGGAAGAACGGAGGCGCCGGGAGCAGAGGGAGCTGGAATTCGCCCAGTTCATATCGACTCTACCTTCTGATGCTCAGGAGGCATATAGGAGACGGTTTATGGCGGATCAGATAATATATATATTTTTCTTTTTTAATTAAATGAATTAAATATAAAATTCTTACTTAGTTATGAGTATGCCATATGACTAAATGATATCACACACACACACACACACACCGATGCACACTGATACAAACTGTTTCACACAAACTATAACTCTCTCCGAAACACAAAACCAAAATTATATACTTAATGTTTTTATGTGATGGTGGTGTTGATGGTGCGTGCGTGTGTAGCGATGGTTGTATTGGTTAGTGAGTTGGTTAGTTAGTTGTTATTTTGTTTTGTTGTGGGGCGTTCGTGTGTAGGGTCGTTGGTTATGTTGTTGGTTGGTGGGTGTTTTCGTCGTGGTGGTGGTGGTGGTGATGATGATGATGGAGGGGGAGGGGGTGGGGGATAGGAGTTTGGTTGGTTGGTGGGTGGGGTTGGGGGATTGTTGTGGTTGTGGTGAAGGTGTTGTTATTGTTGTGTTGTGGTGTTGCATGTGTTGTGTTGTCGTGGTCGTTATGTGCGTGCTTGATGTTGGGTTTGGCCGTGGTGGGGGAGGGGGAAGTGTGGGGATTGGGTTAGGCTGGGTACTCGTGCATGCGTGTGTGCGTGTTGGTGGAGATAGGTACGCGTGCGTGCGTGTGTGCGGGTGGGGTTAGGGTGTGTGCGTGCATTATTAAAAACATGTGCGTGCTTGCGTATAATACATAAAAATATGCCATGATACTCTCTCCGAATCATATAACATGTAAGAATATGCCATCATACTCTATTATTGCTATACTTACATGTCATGCCATGTTGTTTTATAATTTGTTACTTTACTGTAAAATTCAGTTTTTGATGATGTACGTATTGTTCTATAACGTTTTATTTATATTTTTAGGCTGGGACTTCTCGACAAGGTGGAGCTGGTGATGAGGATGATGATGATCGGGACTGATTTTATTTGTTTTAACATTGAAAACAATGGGTGTGCTGTATAAATAACATTTATAATGTTAGGATATTTATTATGTTTTAAGTGAAATGTGTGTTATATATGCGTGAGAATGAAATATGTGTTATATGTGCTTGTGCTGTGTAAATATATTGTACAGGGATTTTTAATTTTCAAAAAAAAATTAAAAAAAATTCTGCTGACTTTTAGCGACGGATTTTCCGTTGCTAAAAAGACTAATAGCGACGGAAAACCGATACGGTACACGTGAACTGATACATGCTTTTGGCGATGGATATTCCGTCGCTAAAATGTATAGCGACAGAAATTACCGTCGTCAAAAATCAAGAATCAACGACGGATATTCCGTCACTATAAATCCGTCGCTGATAATTAGCAACGGAAAATCCGTCGCTAAAAAGTGATTTACCTACCCTCGTAATAGTGACGGAGTTTTAGCGACGGAATTCTTATTTTTCCATCGCTAAAACTATTAGCGACGGATTTGTCCGTCGCCAATAGTCCACTATGCAGTAGTGATCTATGCTTTAATCATGCTTAAAATCCTAAAATTTTTGATATAAAGGGGATTGCATGTAGATCAAGATAATTTAGACCCTGGATCTGGGATGTTTGGTTCTGAAATCATGATTAAACGAAATTATATTAGTTCTAGACTAATATGCAAGCATGTTTCATATTAACCTAATCGAAAATTAGGGTTTATGTTAAATATTGGTACAAATAAGGGGATTAAATTAAGTTGGTCAAATCAAGGGTTAAATAATCATGGTGATGATTCTTTTGTTTAATATTTACTAGTTTTATAATGTGTTAAAGTATGAAAATCGTGCAACGTTTGCAAATATGCTGTTGGTGCATGTTCCTGTGCAGGTTTTGACTTAGTAGTCGACTACTACGTGAAGTAGTCGACTACTAAAGTCTGAATTAACTTAACAGAGATTGAGTCAATACAGAGTAGCCGACTAATGTTCTTATTAGTCGACTACAAATTTTTGAGTCGAGTATAATAGAGTCTGGTAGACTTAGTGTAGTCGACTATTAAGCTTAGTACACTACAACAAAATACATCATTGCCGATGAAAGAAAAACATCGGCAAAAGTTTAAAAAACATCGGGAAAAATCTTTCCCGACGCAAAATGTAACGTCCCTAACGCGTCACCAAAAGTGCATCAAAGAAAATATTTGGCGACGCAAACATACTGCGTCGGTAAAAGTCAACACTTTTGGCGACGCTTGATCCGTCGGAAAAAGTACAACTTTTAGCGACGCATAATATTTTATGTCGGCAAAAGCATGCAGAATTTTTTTCATATGCGTCGGCAAAAGGGCAATGCGTCGGCAAAAGTATACTTTTGGTGACGCAGAATGGAGCGTCGTTAAAAAGCTTATCTTTGGCGACGCATGATTGCGTTGGCAAAAGTATAGCTTTTAGCGACGCAGAATAGAACATCGCTAAAAACTACATCTTTGGCAACGCAAGATTGCATCGCTAAAAGATATTACTTTTGGTGACAAAATATGTCGTAAGCAAAAGTGTTACATTTAGCGACGAAATATAGCATCGGCAAAAGTGTTACTTTTACTGACGCTTATCGACACTAATTTGCATTGCCAAAGTAATATATTTTCTGTCAAATACAAGCCTACACTGAATCTGAACATCCACAAAAAATTTGCTCCCATTCACATCAACATAAAAGTCTATTTTTCCATTTCCCCTTGAGCGCTAAAAGCGTTAATTTACAAACTTCCTTTTGCATACCCAAGTACATAAAGTCTCTCAAAAACAGATTACATCAAGAAAACTAGAAACAACAATCTCAAATTTGTATCATTAATTACAAATAGTTGATGACAGAAGGTACCAATGGCATCAAAGATTGACAAGCCTCCTGAATCCTTGAGCAATAGGACTTGCAGAGTGCTTGTCCATGAAGAGGAGGAATATCTTCATTAAGTGCCTGAAGAGACTTTGTTTTCTACATATGAACAGCAACACCTGCATTAAGAGCATCATGTTTGGATAGGACATGCTGCAAATCATCATTTAATGCAAGTCCCTGGCAAAGAAGATCTTCATCCCTATAAGAATTTCAAAAAAGAGTAAAAAGTTTAAGTTATGCAAATGAGGCAGGAGTAGATCATGCATGAAATAAATTGATACATCAAATCCCATCAAAGTAGAATTAACTATGGACCAACACCCTGGTCATGGAAGCCATGGACAAGAGAGGTAGCTTGCCACAATCCCAAAAAGAAAAGTTTCAAATTATTCAAATTCCCAGGAAAGACTATAAGGGGGAGATGATAGATTTGTAAAGGGGAATTACAGTAGCTATGTGCCATAGAGAATGTCGAGAGTCAAAACAAAACCAATTCTCACAGTTGGGGAACCGGGGGTTTTTAGTATAGTCTGTAATATATAATAAAAATAATGAAGATATTTCACAGCATGAAATATCACAACCATGCTAAACTATCAAGAAAGCATAATATTTCAACATAAAAGATTAGACGACACCGAAAAACTTTTACTTATTTTCTATGTGTCAATAGAGGTAAAAAGGAGAGCGAATTGGATCTACTGTTGCCTCAATTCTTTTAGGCTAAAGCGTAACTTTCTTCAACCCACTAAGTTTCACCGGCAGAAACCTTAAAGAACTAACCTCTGATCATCCAAGCTAAGTTCATTATCATAATAAATTTGATTGCAATGTGCTCTACTCAGACTTGACAGAATTTTGTAGCTTTTTTTTTTCTTTTTCCTTTCTTATTTAAGAAAAAGAATGGATCTGATACACATCCGAGCCACCTACATTCATAAAACTTGATTGGTTACAAACAAATACATACCATTCCCAACCATAAGATGGTAGCTATCTCAAGTCTGATATGATTTACATCACCAAGAAACAAACCACAACCAATATTACTTGTAGCTTATTTTATATAGGAGATAGGAAATGGGTGCTAAAGAGCAGCACCATGAACGGGACAAAAGCTTTCCTTTTACTTTGGCAGTGAATCTCTGCTATCGATCACGGGATAAGAGCTTGTGTTCTTCCATATGGCTTTAGGATGTATCAGTGCGATTTTGTTGCTGTCTTAAACAAGTGTATGGTTTTGCATGATATTATTATTTATGTTCATATCCATATGAGTATCACCAGATGAGGATGGGCAAGTTTGGGAAAGAGAAAAACATATGAAGGGGAAGAAAGCAGAGAGCACATGTGGAGAATTTACATACTTGTCCTATTTGGATGAAAATTTCCAACTAAGGTTTGTACTTACAGTAGATTTGCATCTTCTGTACATTCACTCGTACAATTCTTTCTAATGTTCTATATCTGCTCCAAACCTCTGTGTGTGGCATCATGGTTTTCGCTTTGTTGGGATAAATCAATCAAACAAGAGAAAAATGTGCGACGAAAAACTAAAATAAAAGTAAACACCATAAGACACCAAAGTTTCATGTAGTTTTGCTTTGAAACAGACAACCCCGAGCTAAGAAGAGATTTAGGTTGACAAAGAGATCAAGATCACTTTGTCAACCTGAAAAGTGATCTTAACACCCCTATAGTTTCTTTCATTGAACATATATCAAGCTATAAGATCTATAGAAGATACCCTTTTGCCTCTGAAAAAATGACATGAAACTTATTATCGCACCCAACAGTCAGAAGAAACTTCTAGAACATCTACCAACACCACCAAGTACGTAATCACCAAAATAAACTGATTCCATATGCTTTACTCATAACAAATAGTCGATGTTTAAATTTTAAATTCCTAGCATTAAATTTAATAGTGTATATCTAGAAACCATAAATAAGTCTAATAATAAAAAATTAAATGCAAGTCTGACCTCATCTCGATGAGAAATCTTTACTACCACCATTCGCTGCAGGCTGGCTACGTGCAAATAGCTGATGCACTAAAGCCTCAAGATCAGCAATCTTTTGGGCTTGTGCATTCATCTGCTCAGCTTGTACGTTCATCTGCTCGGCTTGTGAGGCAATCTGTTCGGCTTGTGAGGCAATCTGTTCGGTTTGCACAGCTACTGTCTCCTTTAAAGCCACGACCTCAGTATCTCGCTCAGCTGACTTTGCAATAGACATGATAGATGAACTCCCTCGAAGGTGGATCCCATACCCCTTCAGGTAACCTGGCCTCCTTCCAAGTACCTCAATGGAGATCTCAAACTCATTCATCGGGGATGTAACTTCGGGCTGAGATTGTTCGATAGTCTTGTTGACTAATCGCTCCTGTCATTTTTAAAGATGTAAGATCCATATTATTAATGAATAGATATAAGTTTTTTGTATAGATTGATTTAACAAAAGTAAATTGGACATACGTACATAGGTATCTTGTGCTTTCTCGTTTACCCATACTTTCCTTTTTTTGGTAGTGGGTTTCCTTGTAAAATTCCGCAAAAGAGGGAACTTGCCCATCATTTTTTGATTTCTGTAATTTAATAAATTTATCATTAAGGTTGTTAATAACTATTTATAGTCTATTTAAAAAGTAAAAACTTATAAAGCAAAACTTACAATTAGTGACATCGCTGCTGCAAATGATCGGGAACCAGATATATGATTGTAGGGCAACTTTGATCGACTCACCTTCGCTTTATCAGATTTTGTCTAATGACCAATATAAAATATATTATTAAAATATATAACAACAGGATTCCAAAATTAACATGATAATTTAATAAAGTGATTTGAGATCTATACCTTTCATTCTTCAGTTTGCCACACATCGATCATCGATACCTAATCATTGGGATCCACACACTTCGGTGGATGGTTCTTGGGATCAGGTACTCCCTTTTCTATTAAACCAAGATAATAGGCATGCAACTCATGCTTCCATTTTCTATATATACTCTGACACTTTTTCTTTATAGAATCTTGGATGACTAGGTCGTTCTCATAGTCCCCAACATTAAATCTTTGCTACGAGTACAGTTAAGCATGAATATACATATAAGCATTAATATATCTTTGCTACAAGTACAGTTAAGCATGAATATACATATAAGCATTAATATATCTTTGCTACAAGTACAGTTAAGCATGAATATACATATAAGCATTAATATGATATATATGTATGATCTTTGCTACAAGTACAGTTAAGCATGAATATACATATAAGCATTAATATGATATATATGTATGCTTTGGTCAGTGCTTGAAAGCTTGGAAGTGACATGATAATTTCCATTATTTTGAAAAGATAAAAAGTCATAAAGTTGCAGTATGGAGATTGGAGAGCAACTTTTCTTGCCTCCACTCATTAGATAAAACCCCATAGAAATTAGTTCTGAGCTTGGGTCACCCAATAAACTACCCTTCCCTTCACTCACCCTGAGTATGACCCAAAATTTCAATTCTAGCAAACTGGAACAAAATCTCTCCATCTAACATTACCAGACCACAAATATTTTCCATATTGCATTTATTTCTAATCCCCAAACTAGAAGGTTCCAAACATATGGGCATTTTTCTGTAAAAATTTTAGTAAGAACCATTAGTATGTTCTTCCCACCTCCGTATACCAGAACTTTAATAATAAAAAGCAATGACAACTTAAAAATCATGACAATTAGGAGAATCCATTACTTCTGCAGCCACTTACCAAGCAGACCAAATTCACCTTCCTTAAAACTAGAACAGCTAAACCTCCATACGACTATATACAACCACCCGATTCATCAAGTAATAAAACATGAAACTTTTGCTGAAAATTTCTCCTGACCTTTTCATATGCTTTGTCACCATGTATGCAACCAAAACACAGACTTCAAGTAGGACTGTAAGCAGAAAGAATGGAATAACTGGAAAAAATCATATTGTCTAGAAAGACATCTATCCACTAACTAATCAACTTAATGCCGTTTGTGTAGATTTTCTTTTGCCCTAAATATACAATGTGTATCAAATTGTTTGTAAATCAATTTGTAAACAGGAAATGTTACTGGTATGGAGATACACTAGAGTAGATTGGATACTGATACATATTAATCCTAGAAAAGGAATGAATCTTAAATAGAGAGGAAAAAATTGCTATGTACTGGGACCATTGTTTACTTGATCCTCAAACAGCGTGGCATATCCTTTTGCGTGTTTATGTGTTTGTTTTGTCAAAAATCATTTCCTTGTGGCTTCCGTCTAAGGACCCTTACACTACGCCAACACTCCTGAGTTATGGAGAGAGTCGACAGTTATAATTTTATAGTCTAACATGCCCTCCCAAAACCTGGACCCACACAGCACTACCATTTTTTCAAAAACTGCTTTAAATTTGTGGCTTAATATTATCATCCAAACATTACACCTAGAACAGTTGGCAACCTTAAATTCAATATGTGCCTTAATATTATCCAAGGCTGGAAGTACCAATTAGTCATTAACAAATAACTAGTAGCGGTCATGGGATTTTAGTCAGTTTTTTTTTGAACTGAAAAAGCAGGGTTAAAAGCCCTGCTCATATAGTGATATTATTAAGAACCAAAAGCAGTTACAAAAGAGCATCACAAAACTAGGTGTAGAACCAGTAAAAGTGCAGCAGATAAGGAGTGGACATATGTCGACACCTACCAAACTGAACCCGCAGCGATACTACAGAAGGAAAGTACATATTACATACTTACATGAAAAGATAATAGCAGCCTACAAGAGAACTTAACAAACTAGTAAAAGGAGTGAACAACAACAGTTTTCCAACATTTGGGAAGATATCCTTATCCAACAGAGTTTATGGAGTGGCCTGGGATAGTGAACATGGGGAAAGGTTGTCCCCAGCTGCCTTGACATTCTTGTTTGCAAGCTCCTGAATTCCAAGCTTTGAAGCAGCCCTGCGCAGTCTCCTCGCGAGCCTCTCCTCCTCGGCACCTGTCCAAAATATTGTATATCTCCCAATATTAGAAGCAATGTGAAGAGGATTTGATTGACTTTCCTTGAAAATAAGAGCATTTCTACTGAACCAGATCCACCAGCAAGTACAAGGCAACAGAAACTTCCAAATAATTTTGATGTCCGAGCACAGATTGGGAGATTTATGGAACAATATCAGCTCCTCTATGGACTGAGGCCAGCAGATTGTGGGAAGAGAGGGAAGGATGTAGGACCAGATTTCACGAGTAAATGAGCATTTAATAAAAAGGTGATCATGGGTTTCTACTTCCAGTTTGCAGAAAGGACATCTCGGGTCGCGTGTCCAGCCCTTTAGGATCAAGTTTGCTTTCGTGTTCAGCTTCTTGTTGGAGATAATCCAAAATAGAACTTTTACCTTGGTTGGAATGGAAGATTTCCAGATCGTATTGAAGAATTTAGATTTAATGCCCCCTGAATTGACGAAGGAGTAGAAGGATTTGACTGAGAAAATCCCCGATGGGAGGAGCATCCACCTGAGCTCGTCTGGAGCCGAAGAGATGCTAATGTTGCAAGATGCTAGAAGAGAGAGAAGATGGTTGAGATCTGACCTTTCTGGGGGTAAAATTCCTCTTCTGATGAGAGGATGCCAAGACCAAACATTGTTAATCATTCTACCTTGGGATCTGATACAGCAGCTCTGTGAGAGAGCTAACTTATAAGCTTTTGGAAATAGGCTACAGAAGGAGTTTGTCGCAGACCATTTATCATGCCAAAAGCTGCCAGTTCTACCGTCCCTAATTTTCCATTTAACCAAGTTGAAAAAAGTTGAATGAATAGAGGATAGGTCTTTGGTGAAACTTGAAGCCGTGCTCTTTATGGGATGAGAAAAAGGATTGGACCCATCTTTGGAGTAAACAAAGAAAAACACTTTGCTAATGAGAGAATTTCTATCGAAAATTCTCCATAGCCATTTAGAAAAAAGAGCTCTGTTGAAGTTTGCAATATCTAAGACCCCAAGACCTCCTTCAGCTTTGGATTTACAGACTTTACCCCATTTGATGAGGCATTTGATATTTGAGTGAGTTTGGCTACCGCTCCAAAGGAAGTTTCTTCTGATTCTGTCTATGGCTTTGATTAACCACTATGGCAGCTTGAAAAAAGACATATAGTAGAGGGGGAGAGAAGATAAGACAGAGTTTAGGAGAGTTAACCTTCCACCAATAGAGAGAGATTTGTTTTTCCATAGCGATAGCTTCTTAGTGAACGATTCAAGAAGAGGTTGCCACTCTCTTTTGGATAGAGAGCCTCTTTTGAGGGGGAGTCCCAAGTATGAAAATGGGAGAGAGCCAACTGAACATTTGAGAATCTCTGCTAGCATTTTTCCTTTGTGAGGGATTTTGCCAAGGTAAAAAAGATTAGATTTGAGGGGGTTAACACAAAGGCCTAATATGTTAGCAAAAATGGAGAGGATGGTATTCAGAGTGGCCATATCAGAGGGGGTGGCCTTAGAGAAAATAATAGTATCGTCCGCAAACTGAATAGACCTGATGGAATTTAGCTGCCCTTTCAAGTTGAGGTCAGATAAATCCGCCGAAGCTGCACTACGATTTAGTAGTTTACTGAGAACATCGGCCACCAAAAGGAAGAGAAGGGGTGATAAGGGGTCGCCTTGTTTGATACCTCTGAAGCATCGAAAGAATTTGGTAGGGGAGCCATTAACTAGAACAGCTGATTTTGAGGAGGATAGAATATATTGGATCCAAAGGCACCATTTGGGGCCAAAACCTCTGGCTTTAAGGAGGGATAGAAGGAAAGACCAGTTCACACAATCAAAGGCCTTATAGAAGTCTACCTTAAAAGCACATACTTCTTTTTTCCCCGAAGAGCAGAAGTTAACCATTTCATGACCTAGGAGAAAGGAATCCAGTGATGATTTACCTGATTGGAAGGCTGATTGAGAGTTATCAATAAGAAGGTAGAGGACTTTTCTAAGTCTGTTAGCCAAAATTTTAGAGAAGATCTTACAAGAACTGTTGATGAGGCTAATAGGACGAAAATCCTTAGGAGAAGATGCACCATCTTTTTTGGGTATAAGGCAAATGTGGGAGTAATTGATGTTATGTAAAAGGTGAGGATGAGAATATATCCCTTGGATGAATTCAATAACATCGGCTTGAACAACTGACCAAAATCTCTGAAAGAAAAGTATGGGGAACCCATCAGGCCCCGGAGATTTGTCAGGGTTGAGGTCAAAAACAACCTCTGAAATCTCTTGGGGGGGGGAGAAGGGAAGGTCAAGAGAAGATAGATCAAAATTATCGTTAGGGTATAGAAGACCCCAGTTGGGAGAAAGTCTAGAAGCTTGAGGTTGGTCAAAGAGATTGGAGAAAAAAGAGAAAAAAGTTTCTTTGATGGCACTGTCAGATGAGATAATGGAATCATTGATAATGAGGTGGGGAATAAAGTTTTTTCTGCGGTGAAAGGAAGCAACTTTATGGAAAAAAGCAGAGTTATTGTCTCCTTCTTTCAGCCATTGTATGCGGGACCTTTGTTTCCATTTGATTTCGTCAGCTTTGGCCAGAGAGAGAATTTGATCTTTCAAGTCAGATCTAAGCTGAGATTCTTGGGGGGAAAGATTTCTTGACTCTTCACAGAGATTGAGGGCGTGAATATGGGATGAAAGTTTGGAGATGGACTGAGATAATGATCCAAAACAGGATTTTCTCCACCATTTGATTCTTATTTTGATAAGTTGAGTTTGAAATGAAGAGGTATTTGGGTATCAT